CGATAGCAAAAGAAACAATAATAACATCTCATTGCTATCATTAGTCATTACTATTGGTTGTTATCGTAAGCGATTGATAAACGATTCTTGGAATGGTAAAGGTGTTAATGTCATGATTACTACGTCTATTTGGATATTGTGGACGGTTAGGAGTGATTTGTCACAACATAGGAGATTGTGTGATGTTGCGATGTCTCCGAGATATCTTCACACAGCCACAAGAACATAGCCTTTGGTCTACTTTTGTCCAAATCGATATCTTTGTCATAAGAAACACATTTTGAAAACTTAAGTTATTTACTAGAATCTCCTTAATAAAATAATTTCAAGCTGTGTCATATTTGTATCATTACTATAAATATCATTTTCATTCGAGTATCTTAGTTGATCATCCATGATCTCATTCTCATAGCATGTGAAACTCCTCCACTTAAATTTTCAAAAAGATTGTCACTACAAATTTTTTTTTGTCACTACAGATTTAAATACATCTAGACACAAAGTTAGAGATAGAAATTTAGCAATACATCAAATATGTTTCAATTAGATTGAATTTAACATATATGATTCTGATACCAAATATAAATTATTTAAATGATTTCAATTTTTTGACATCAAAAACATAATATAGTATGATTATTTAAAAAGGCTGGTTTCAGAGGTTAGCCAGCTCGGAATCATAAGATATCCTTGGAAAAAATCATTACCAAGTGATCGAGCTTTTTTGCGAGACGATCGGCACAGACATTAAAACACGAAGAACAATGAAAATAAAGAAATTACTAAAAGTGGAACGAATATGTAAAACTCATCAATTTTTGGAGCCAAAGCTGGCCACTCTTTTTCTTCGTCAATCAAACTGAAGCCAATAGAATTCAAAGTTCACTAAAGATGGAGAGCTGAGTGGGCAGGCTTGTGATGTCTCAGTCCCTTCTTTTCTCTCCATATATTGTACACTGAAACTTTTTACTCCTACAACTTGCCAGTGATCGAATAGTTATCTCCCAATATGGATTCATTTTCGTGTCTAAGATACCTGAGCAATTCCACTTTCAAAACGTAAAATAGTAAGGACATGCGAAAAACAAATGGTCTCTTGCAGAGTCGGACCTGAGTAAAAGTCCATGAAGCATGTGCTTCGGAACCAGTAAACTTAAAATTATTTTAAGGACAATTTGTTTAAAAATGAGTTAGAGCATGTAATTTAAAACGAGTAGATTTTTTTCTAAATGCCAATTTTTTTCCTGCTTCTAGCCTGACTAAACTCAGAACAGGCTTTGGTCTCTTGCCTAGCTTACTTTGTTACATAAAAAACTCTCCAAATTATACATAAAAACACACTTACAAACCATATATATATGTATTTATGTTATGCGTTGATATTCTTTTTAATAACTATATTGATAAAAATCATATACGACCAATTATATATGTATATATATTGAGATATTATTTTATATATATTAGTGATTGTGATAATACATATGAAAATATTGTACTTTTAATCTCAAAAATTTTATCTACTTGTGAGGTTTGAATGGTTTTGTTTTTAGTCTATATATGTCTTGTTTGAACGGTATCGAATGAGAGCTTGAAGACAGCATTGTAGTTGTTCATTGTGAGGAGAATCAGAAAAAATGAGGGCTCACCTCTCTTGTTGAATGTCGCTACTCTTTTATGATATGATCTGAGGTTGTCAGAATTCTACTTGAACATGAAATTAATCCCAGCTGGTTGGAAACTCTCATCTTCCTCTACACTAATTCAGCTATTGAAATGTGCAAGCTCAATCCTCAGCTGCTCCAAATGCTGATGTATCAAATTTGACGAGAGAAGAACACTTGATTTGATCATCATATTTACAAAGTTCTTATATTCTTACCCATAAGATTGAGAGAATCATTCACATATGGATATCCTCTATTCATTATCATGACGATCCAAAGCTTTACAAATTGATACGATAGGGATTCGCTGCTCAAGTGCAAAATCTAACATTTGCTGTTTAAGAGAATATCTTCTAAAGCTCTATTTTACTAATTGTAGATATCAATTTTCATTTGATTTTCTTTTTTGGTTACACTTGTAAATATTTTAGTTTTTATTAATAAATATCACATTAAAAAAACGAACAAACAAAACCAAATAAAAGCACCATTTTGTGTTTAGGATTTAGTTTATAGGGTTTAGAAACAAATTTTGGGGTTAGGTATATGATTTCGTAGCTTTAATAGATGTAAGATCGGGGTTTAGATTTCACTGTTTAAATTTAGACTAGTTTATTAATTTTAAAAAAATAATGCATATTTTGTTAATTTTAGTGTAAATTGCATATATTTTTAAGATATAGTAATTAATTTTGGGCTATTTAGTTATAAAAAATGTCAATATAAAGTTGAGTTCTTACTTCTTGCAATAACTGCTTTTAAAAATAAATCTAAACTTGATAGAATTAATTAATGTTTTATATTTTACTATCATATATTTTCTTTGAAAATTCCAATTCATAAACGCAATATATTATTTTTAAATAAAGAAAATCTTATAAAATTCAATTTAGAAAACAAAAAAATATGCATAATATCACAAGTTAAGTAGCATTTAATATTTGTTTTTACAATTGTATTTTTGAGAATTATTATTTAATTTTTAACAATTTAAGTTTTTTTTTAAACCATTATAAATCGAACGCTCATAAACAAAAAAATTTTAAACTAAAACATAAAACGAACGATTATAAACAAAATCTTTGAAACTAAAACATAAGACTGTGAGGTCTGAGATTTTTTTTTTTTTTTAAAAAAACCTTGATAGTTAGATCTTATAGATAAAAATGCAGCGATTGCGATGGAATGCAGATCATCATGAACGGTTTGTTTGTGCGGTTGAACAACTAGGTGGAATCAATCGTAAGTGAAAATATTGTTGTTTACGAAATTCCAAAATAAATTCAGGAAAATCGTAAACAAATAAAATTGATACCGGAATCATCAATTGGTTTTCAAATATAAGATTGATACCAATAGCTTTCTAATTTTCTGATTGTAAGATTCTCTTTGTCTTCTCTATTTTTGTTTTGTTTGATATCATCATATTTAAATTAAATTCTGAGATCAATAATATCGGCCCAATAATTTTGTTTTTATATAAGAAGAAAATAATATTCTTAGATCTACAGTTACAGGCTAAAAATTGTATTTATAATGATTCAACTTGTATTATTTATTGTAAAATTACAGAAGCAACTCTTAGGAGAATTTTGGAGTTAATGAATATTAGAGAACTCACTTTATCACAAGTGAAGACTCATCTCTAGGTCTTAACTTATATATACATAATTTAATATCTATTAATGTGTCTATATCACTATATATGCATGTATGTATATATTTTCATATTTTTATATTATTTTTGGCTTACATTTTGAACTAATTTTTATATTTTTGTCTTTAATTAGATGTATAGGATCAAAAAGCAGAAAGAATACAAACAAGGTAAATAAGTATCATGTACATATTCATTTCAATTTCTATTATAATTATGTATTTATTGTATTTTCTATAAGTGTTTTTTTAAAAAAATACATAAGTGCTCTATTTGATAGAAATAAAAAGAATTGATCATTCATAAGACTATATATGATATTTCTTAAAAAAGGCATTATTATATAAATATTATATGAAAATAAAACTACACACTATGTCATGTATGTCCTATGGCTGAAGAGAGGCAAGCAAATCAAATGAATGGACCGACAAGGGCAAATTATTTTGAGATAAACTCAACAATACTTTCTTCAATATTAATGTTTTAAAGAAATTCTCAATTTATTGAAAAAAAAATGTGTTGTATATCATTTAATCAATAATTATTTTAAAAAATATTTTCTTTTATGATATAGTTTTGTTTTAAATATGATAATTTTGTGTATTTAATTATAAATTACTGTAGGCAAAACGAGACAATACAGAAAAATATAATCGAAAGTGGAGAATCAAGTAATAAAGCTAATGAAGTATTTTGCAATTCTCTGTTTCAATTTTTAAGAGTAAATATTCTCTCTTCTATCTATTTTTACGTTATCATACAAGAAGATTTTGATATAAATTTATCTTTGCAGTAATTTTAATATTAAATTGGATACCATTTTACATGTTTATATTATTTATGAAAAATATATTAATACATATGATTGGATATGGCAGATTGGACCAAATGAAACTGAAAAAGATGAAGAAGAAAATTATGATGACAACAATAATGAGATTTGATCATTTGAGCTCATTCTTAGTCGCAAGTACAAAAGATGATTTATTTCTTCTATAATATATTCTTTTAAAAAATAAATATCTTTTTCTTAATTTCAATTCTATGTAATATTTTTTTTATTGAAAGACAATGTGATTAGAAAATTAAAATTAAACTATAAATTATAAAATTGATGTGATTTGCTATTAATCTTGCATCTAATCAACCGTCATATTTGTATGTTGAAATACTGTAGATTTAAAAAAAGTGTGTTGGAGAATCGAATCATGCCTTCCAAATGCTAAAAACTAGAGAAAATAAAGGAGAAAACAATCAGTTATATATATAAAAGATTTCTCAATGCTCATGTAAAACGTCTACGAAGCTTATATATACATCATGCACCGAATGATGGATGATAAGCATCATTTTGAACTGTGGTCTTGAGTGTCTTCTCTCTTCTTCTTTTTATATTTTTCTATTTTATTTCTGTAAAAGGTATTCTTTTGAAATGCATGAAATTAATACAAGGCATTTCGGATCATGCAATATGAGAGATGGCCGGTCCTGAGTCCAAACAGACCAAGCACAGGCTTTCGACCCTTATTTTTGGACTGTTTGGTTCTGAGTCCAAACTTATGTTTGTTCATGTTTGATTACTTATGTTTGGTCATGTTTGATTGAATAATTTATAAGGCAAAACGGTCGTTTTTAATTTTTAAAAAAAATGTACACAAAACCGCCCATTTTTCTCCGGAACTTGCAATCTTAGTAAACTCAGGGCCGGTTCAGTTTAAATTTACACTTTAACTAGCTTTGAAGTATGCATGAAGCTAAAGAGAGAACGAACAGTGAGAGAAGAACAACTCACTAAAAACTACTAGTTAATTTACCACGAATACGATAAATCTTGCTGATTAGCCATGAAACGGTGTTTTACTTTTTACTTGTCATATAACCGAGAAGTTCATCGACGTAGCGTGAATTCTCATCTATGTTCCCAAACAAACCCTTCATGAGCTTTGCTTTTGCCCTTATCGACTCTCCTGCATCATCAATCATAGCCAATCTAACGGAGTAAGCAACCGAGTCAGAATCAAATGCTCCATCTTTCTCATCTCTTGGGATCTCAACACCAAGTCCCTTTCCCTCTAACAGCCTCGTGTTAAGCCCTTGCTCATTCAACACAGGGAAAAAAATCGGAACTCGCCCCAACCCTAGCCCTTCCACTAGTGAGTTCCAGCCACAGTGCGTCAAGAACCCACCGACTGAGTCGTGACTCAATATGTTGACCTGAGGAGCCCACCCAAAATGAACCATGCCACGTCCCTCAACTCGTTCCTCGAACCCGTCTGGAACTTGTGACTCGTTCCTTAGAACCCAAAAGAAAGGCACGTCTGATTTCTCAAGCCCATGAGCCAGCTCGGTGAGTTCCTCTGGACAAAGAATCGCCTCGGTACCTAGTGCAACGTAGACAACTGAGTTGACTCGCTGCATGTCAAGCCACTTCTTTATAGCAATCCACGTTGTATCTCCTTCAACTTCAGCGTCTGTTGGCAGAAACCCGGTTGGAAACACCGGTTTTTGGTACAGTTCTTGAAGTAAACCAAGCCACTCTGGTTCAAACTCCGGTGAGCTATGGACAAAAACCGCATCGCAGTTGGATATCGAGTAGCCAAACCGGACCGGATCAGAGACTCCAGTCGTATCTTTCTCCTTCTTGTCACCGACCAAAGTGATCTCGTGATAACGATATGCGATGTTTGAATGGAATGGGATCCAGGGAGGCACCACCGTGAAGTCTTCAGGCTTTGATCTGAAATTGTCGATCAACAACGAAGGTGGTCCTAAGAAGCAGAGAGATGCGGCGTTGAAGAGGCTAAAGAAAGCCTTGGAGATTCCCAACTCAGCCGCAACTTGAGGAAGCCAGTGAGAAGCGTAGTCATAGACGACCCAATCCGGAGACGAATCTCTGAGAAACTTAGTCAACGGTAGCTGGAGAAGATCGAAGGAGGATTTGAGAGACTGTTGTTTGTTGAAAGACACGTCCATGGAGCATTCTGAGCCAGGAGTTGAGCCGGGGAAGGCAGGGAGAGGGAAAGAGACGAAGGTGATGGAGGAGGAGAGGTTTGATGGTAGTTTGGGAAGTCTCTTGATGTTTCTTGGTGTTGATATGAACAGGACTTTGTGACCCTTTTGCGCAAGCAACTTGGACAAACGAAGAAAAGGAAGAAGATGACCCATAGCCAACCATGGAAACATGGCTACGTGCATAGCTCCTTCTCTCCTCTCCATTTTTTTTTTGTTTATCTCTACGTCTCCAATAAACCGTTATTATATAACCACAAAAGACTATTCTATAATTTGAGGAAGTAATCAGTTAACATTACTCAAGATACATAAACAAATAAGAATATTGGATGATTTGAGAAGTCATCAATTAATAGTAACCGAGATACATAACACAAAGGGTACAAAGTAACTAAGTTGTGATTTAACACACAAATTTAAAATAGCATAATAATCAAAAAGGCTTTACCATGAAGAAGACATGATGTGGAGGAAAAGATCTTTGAATCGATTTCTTTCATGATCAAGATCGTGCTGCTACTCTTGGTTAATTTGATCAAGATCTGGTTCGGGTTAATGAGAATGACGTCAACAATTTGGAATATATTTTTATTTGTGGGTTAACTATAAGACGATATTTGGAATATAAAATATAAAAAATTGTAACGACCAGACGGATCAAGTGACTCAGCTCCACGTTTATAAAATTAGAGTTAGGTGTGGTTTCTTTGTCAAAGAATACATAATTTTCCTCTGTTATAAAAAGACCGCAAGTGTAGTAACTAGTAAGTCAATTTTTATTAGAGCTGGACTTGAGTTTGGTAATTATTAGTCTTCACAAGTATTATAAACAAGTACTCGATTTGTTCCAAACCTATAGGATTTCCCTCCTCTACTTTAGGTTTTCCTTTAATCTGATAGGCAAGAAACTCTTACCCTTTATGTCGTTTTACATCATTTTTATAATTTACATATTAATTAGCATGACAACTACAAGCTCTTTTTTTGTTAGTATGTTACAACATCATATACAATGTTAGAGGTGTACTCCACATCTGATTTAACTCGGCATTAATCGAGACCGGTCTAATTGATTAGATTAACGATGGTTTATGTCATATTAAATTGGGTTGGGACGAACTTATTTGTCAACGATTAAGCCCAACACAAGGATAATACGACCTCCGAGATTTCCTTAAATCTTTGAAGGAAAATATTCTTTCCCATGTCCAAAAAAGAAAATGAAATCTCCTACCTTAAACCGACTTGTATTCGTTATATAAGGGAGGATATTCCTCACAATCAATCCATGCAAATCATTAGAGAGCATTAGAGAATTCAGAGCTTAAACCTAATTCTTTAATCTCTTTATTGTAATTTGATTATCAAATTATTAAACAAAACGCTTTCGAGCAATTACTCTTCTTGTGTGATTCTTGCAATCAACACATAATGTATTTGAATTTATCATAGTCGTATATGTAATGTTTTTAAATCCGACCCAGATAGTGAACCGGAATGCATTCCAGATCAATGGGTCACTGGATCAACCACGGTTCAACCACGGGTGAATAAATTAATAGTAACATGTATATATATATATATGATATATATAAGTATGGTTAAAAAGTTAATAAAATAATAATTATTAGCACAGTTTTATAAAATATTTGATGACAAATTAACATCAAAATAAAAACAAAAACAAGAAGAATAATAGTATACATTAATAAGAATATAGAGGTCTAATATGAATAACAAAAATCATAAAGTTAATTCAAAGTAAACTAAAAAAAATATTACTAATGACGAAGTGAAATAAGAAACAAATCATCTCAACCTATCTTCGATTATCTACCATTATTTTTAGTTTCTCCAACGGCATAGTAAAATCTTCATCAATATTTTTTTTAAACTTACATAATTTAGTCAATATTTAATATAACTAAAAAAATACAAAAATATTAAAAAGTATGAAAAAATTGCATTATATAAAGATCTTTTAAAATCAAACTTTTTGAATTTGTTCAAAAACTTCCACCCACCGGTTCGACCATTAACCAAATCGTGGATTTATCAAATTTTTACCGGTTTTTAGCGAATTTTTATGCAATGAATATTAGCATTAAATTCAAATCGGATTTTCCAATGGGTCACCAGATATATTGGTCCGACCGCGGGTCCGGGTCGGGTTTAAAAACACTGCGTATAAGTGATAATCAATTAATCACTCAATTGAATCTAAATATATGCAGTACATGCAATAATAATATACATATATGGAAGTTCTTTCTGCAACAAATGAGTTTACGATACACGATTTTACCTGAATAATTAACATCCATATACAATGTTTTTGTGATAGTCATGCATGCATGTGATGTGCATTGTATGTGATATGATTTATATAAACGAGATGTTGACAAGTAGTTTGCCAAAGCGAACCACCACAAGAAAGAAACTTAGTTTATTTCTTGTGACAATGCCAATCCAATAGAAAACTCTTGGCGTTGTGACCGTAACTGGACAAGAACTGTAATCGTCTCGAGACCATCAAAGAAAATTGCTCCCGTTACATCCGAAAGTTTTGTTTTCCACTACCACAATTTATGTGACATTGACAATTTTGTTTTTGAAGAAATTACACAAGCTATTTAACACTTATTTTGAAACTTCTTAATAATTTAAGGGTCATTTGCATAGGTTAGCATTTAAAATAAAGGATTTTAAAGCATCTCTAATGTATTCCTCCATTTTTATCTCTAAAATGGGAGAACTGCAAAATGAAGTTGAATTTCTCTCCAATATATTCCTCCATTTTCAATTCCAAAAAGAATATTCTAAATATATTCTTCCTTTTTATTTTATTGTTAATTACTAATAATGCATTTTATTTATAAAAATTACAAATGAACCCAATTATTTTTTTTCTCTTAAAACTTTTATAAATTATAATATTATAAATTCAACCATTATAATATAAAAATAACATTACACACCATTTAAAATAAAAAACAAAGTACATTTTAATTTAAATATCATCATTTGAATATTTTTCCCACAAATGATCAATTAAAGCATTTCGAAGTGAAAAATGAGCGTTTTTATCGTTGATTTTTCTGAATCGAGCAAGAAAATTTTGGAACCGGATACTTTCGTCTTCAGCTACTTCTATCTCTGGAGGTGGAGCTTTCTCTTCCAAGTTCAATCGGTGCATCAAGATCACGCTCATCTTCGACTATCATGTTATGTAGAATTATACATGTAGTCATTATGTCATGTAACACATTCTTTTTTCAAAAACGAACTGGACCTTTCACAATAGCAAATCGCGATTGGAGAACTCCAAATGCACGTTCCACATCTTTCCTACATGCTTCCTGTCGCGTAGCAAAATATTTTTTCTTTGCACCCATTGGCTCGTGAATAGTTTGTATTATGGTAGACCATTTAGGATATATACCATCACCCAAATAATAACCCATATTATATTCTTTTCCTTGAATGGTATAATGAATAGGAGGAGCAATACCTTGAACAAGATTAGAGAAAATATGGGAAAATTCCAACACATTGATGTCATTATTAGTGCCCGACATTCCAAAACAAGCATGCCATATCCATAGGTCATAATCTGCCACAACTTCAAGAATTATAGTTGGCGATCCGTTACAACCTGCATATTGTCCAGCCCAAGCGGTAGGACAGTTTTCCCACTTCCAATGCATGCAATCTAGACTACCCAACATTCCTGAAAAACCCTGTTTTTCACCAATGTAAAGAAGCTTAGAAATATCATTAGATGTTGGTGACCGTAGGTATTGCTCTGAAAATATGTTCACTATGGCTCGACAAAATCTTTTCATGCTTTCGATTGCTGTTGATTCACCTATCTTTACATACTCGTCAGTAGCATCTGCAGGAAGACCGTATGCTAGCATCCAAAACACAGCTATCACTTTTTGGAGGGGTGATAATCCAAGTCTACCCATTATATCCCTTTTTTGCGTGAAATAGTCATCATGATTTTCGACTGCATTGCATGGTCAACTTTGTTGGTTTTTTCATAGTCAAATTTGCTAAGTTTTTTGCATCGTCAAAATGTATTGTTTTTGCATGGTCAAATATTTTGTTTTTTGCATGGTCAACTTTGTTGGTTTTTGCATAGTCAAATTTGTTAAGTTTTTTGCATCGTCAAAATTTATTAATCTTTGCATGGTCAAAGAGCTTCGATTTCTATTGAGAACTTCAGACATCTATAAATATTACTATATGCTAATGATTCTGTTCGCACCAAACCCATTTCTCTTCAACATACATTTTTATTTTCTTTTCTTTTTTTACCAAAAATTCACTAAAATCATATTAGAGAAATGTCTATTCGTTCTTCTGGATATTCTCAAGAAAAAGATAAATTTCTGTGTCAAATTTATATGAAAATTTCTCAAGATCCAATCACAGGTGTGTATCAGTCATCTGATCAATTTTGGTGTCGTGTGGTTGATGGTTACAACAATGGCAAAAATACAATTTGGAGTGAACGTACAAAAAAATCTATGCAAGCTCGAATTCAAACTATTGTGAAAGCAACAAAGAAGCTCCATGGATGTATTCGACAATGTGAAAACAGACGTCCAAGTGGTGCTTCAAATGATGACATTGTAAGTTTTAATATATTTTGTAAATTTGATATATCATGGTTTTTATGGTTTTTAACCATGGTATAAGTCTTATTTATAGAGTCTTTTTAGTGTTTTTCGAGTCTTTTGGAGTCTTTTCAGGTCATAGGTACGTTTGAAGCTTAACTGGAGACTTTGGAGCTTAATCAGGATCAAATTCGTCAAGTATGAATTTTGTGCGTTAGTGTCGCTCGACACCATGGAGAGTGACACTCGACACTTGTCAGAGAAATAAGGAAAATGCGATTTTTGTTTCCTATTCGAAGAAGGAGTTGGGCCTAAACGTTTCCAAGGAAGCCCAAAACGTGTTTTAGAGATATATATAGGATTTTTATTCTCTTTTTATCGAGACCTTAGATTTTTGAGAGAGAGATACTCTGAGTTTTTGGCTTTTGCGATTTTGAGAGCTTGGGGAGACAAGTCTGAACTCTGTTCGTTTAGAGAGAACATTTCGAACCCCTTTATCCATTTCGATTTAATCTATTGCTTTCTATTCATCATGTTTGTTGTTCCAATAACCATGTCTGAGTAGATCACTTGTTAGGT